TCCCATCGTACCTTTGAAAGTACTCAAATTCGAACAAAGGTTTATTTTATTATTTATTATTTTTATTACTTTTTTCCAATGGCTTGTTTTTTATTTTAAAGAATTAATATTTTTTTTCAATTTAGTGTTTTCAGTACCCGGTCAAATTCACTATTCCATCGGTGCGTGCCAGATGATGGTCGGTGCAATGGAGGTTCGTCCGTAGTGAGTGAAGAAGTTTCTGGAGAGTACAGACGCACATTTACACACACACATCAATACAACACACACATACACAACATCCATTCATTCGGTGTCTTTGCTATGTTTCTTTCCAACTTTCTATTTTCTTTACCGGACTTAATTTAATTCATGGGTAAGTTAGGGATTGAGATAAGTTGAACAATCGTAGGTAGGCTATGGCTTAACATTAGTTAAAAAGTTTCAAGTAAAATAAAAACTTTAAAATATGTAAAATAAAATACCTGAAAAATATAAAATTTCTAAAACACAGAAATACAAATTTGTAGGTAGGTAGGTGAGTTGAGTTAATTATTATAGGTAAGCTAGGGCCCTGAGAGTAATTTAATCGTAGGTAGGTGACTGACTACTATTCTTGCGACTTTTTACTAGTTTTTTGTGATGTGTTTGTTGTTTGTATTTGCTTCATACCACACACACACACACATACACACACACACACACACACACACCACACACACACACACACAAAACAAACTAAATTTTATTCTCGTCGTCGCCTTAAATTTTACCTTTTTGAACAATCTTTTTAATAATGTCTATTTATTTATTTATTAAATGTTGACTGGTTTCTACTTTTTTTTTATTTTGGTTATATAATTTTTGGTATTTCCTGATTTACTTTGTATACATGCATGTATAAATAATTACTGTTTGGTATGTTGATTTAGTCATTATGATATGCTGTGAACTGTTTTTTATTAAATGTTCATGTTACGTGAATTATTCTCAGAACTTTTTTAAATTTTAATTTTCCGTCATTTTTTATTGGTATCAAATAAAAGCAACTGTTGTGTTTTTCTTCCATTACTAAAATCTCGAAATTGATTGTTGTCAAAATTGACTAGCTGACTGACTGACTGACTGACTGACTGGCTGGCTGGCTGGCTGGCTGGCTGGCTGAACTGACAGAACTTTTTTAAATTTTAATTTTCCGTCATTTTTCATTTTTGATTGGTATCAAATAAAAGCAACTGTTGTGTTTTTCTTTCCTTACTAAAACCTCGAAATTGTTTGTTGTCGAGATTGACTGACTGACTGACTGACTGACTGACTGACTGACTGGCTGGCTGGCTGGCTGGCTGGCTGACTGACTGACTGGCTGGCTGACTGACTGACTGACTGACTGACTGACTGACTGACTGACTGACTGACTGACTGACTGACTGACTGACTGACTGACTGACTGACTGACTGACTGACTGACTGACTGACTGACTGACTGACTGACTGACTGACTGATGGTGATGGTGATGGACTAACTAGTAATGTATTAAGAGAAGGAACCGACCTAGACATTTAAGATTCTTTAATTTCATTTCAATGGCGATTTCGATGATGATGATCTTATAAACTTATTTTCCGAATTCATGCTGCAAATAAGGCCATATTTCGATTCCGAATGAATCATCTTCAGTGCTCTCTGTTGTTTAGTTTAATAAATTTATTTTGAATTTTAATAAATAAGTTAATTTTGAATTTTAATAAATAAGTTTATTTTGAATTTTAATAAACTAAACGTTCACCAAAAAACTTTAGTGAGAAAAATCGAAAAAACGAACTACAAACATATTAACGCCAAACATTCGGTAGAATTTATAGAATATTGTAAAAATTATGGTCTATTACCAACAAATATATATATATATATGTATATATATATATATATATATATCTGTATATATATAGATGTGTTTTAATTAATTGGTGGCCTATAAAGTTCATCCATGTTAAACTTGCTTGGTCTCCAAGCCAGAATGTTATTCGAACTTTCTTTTTGTTTGTGTTATGTTCTGGTAAATAAAAAGTATTTTTGATTGATTGATTGATTGATACATACTAGAACTCTATCGAGAGTTTTCTACCAACTCCAGAGAATACGACCAACCAGACGTTTTTTGACAGTTGTGTCAACGACTGCCCTGGGATGGGAAAGAGAAAATTTCGGTTTCATCCTCAAAAATCTGGAACTCACTAGCTGCAGATTTGAAGAAATTCAACCACATGAGCCAACATGTTTTTAAGAAACGTTTGAAACATCATTTGTTTTTGACATTCTTAAGTGGAACTGGCGCTTCTGAAGTTTCACAATAGGAGCGTTTCACAAATCCTTTGATACAGATACGATACAGATATACATATTTATATATTATCTATATTAATTTTTATTTCTAACTATTCATTCAAACTATATTCACACGCACAGACACACACACATAAACTCACACGCACATACGAAACTTCAAAAAGCAATATTTTTTAGCGTCATTTCTTCCAATAAATATTCTGATTACTTTAAAGACGCAACAACTTGCATCAGTTATCCACAGTTCATCTTTTCATGTTCGTTTTAATTAACGAAGTGAGTTTGCAATTAATTAATGCATTCATTCATTCATTCATTCATTCATTCATTCATTCATTCATTCATTCATTCATTCATTCATTCATTCATTCACTCATTCATTCACTCACTCATTTACTCACGCACTCATTCATTCATTCTTTTATAAATTCTCTAGATGATGTTACATCTTAATAAGTATGTTTTTTTTATAAGATTTGCGTTTACAAAATTGAATATTCCATCTAACTTATTACATTTAAATCAAATTTTATAACTAAATAACAATAAATAAACCTGATTCAATATATCTCAATCAAGTTAACATTTACTTAATAGAAAAAAACTGTTCAAAGTTGTATTACAGTATATCTTGCAACACTGATAGGATTAGTAGTCAAAGTTATAGATGTTGTCAATTATTTTATTTATTTATTTGAAAAAACACAAAAAAGTAAATAAATACTTGTAACAGTGCCTTAACTAAAAATAACATTATCAACAGAAAGTAACTAAAAATGCAATTGGTAGTAACAATTATTGATTATAATAGATATACATACACATACATACATACATACATACATACATACATACATACATACATACATACATACATACATACATACATACATACATACATACATACATACATACATACATACATACATACATACATACATACATACATACATACATACATACATACATACATACATACATACATACATACATACATACATACATACATACATACATACATACATACATACATACATACATACCGTTTCAGATGGTGGTCTCATGATGATCGTTCCGATGACAACTCGAGGAAAACAACAACGACGATTTTTGAAGTATGATTTAGTTTTTTTTTTTATTTTTCTCATTCATTCATTCATTCATTCATTCATTTTATCACTCTCATTCAAATTATTCCTCCATTAATTGATTCCTTCTATTCATTCATTAAATCATTGATTGATTAATTAATTAGTTAATTCACTCATTCGACCAATCATCCAATCATTCAGTTAATCATTTATTCGTTCGTTTTTTTTGTTCCTTGATTTACTACTTCGCTAATAAAAAAACTTGTCTACAGAATGATGAGAGGTGGGCTGTGGTGGGCGTCAGCACGTTTCAGATGGTGGTCTCATGATGATCGTTCCGATGACAATTTGAAGATAACATTAAAGGGAAATTTGTTTTTGTCCCATCGTACCTTTGAAAGTACTCGAATTTGAACAAAGGGTTGAGTGTTATCTCTTCCGTAGTGAGTGAAGAAGTTTCTGGAGAGTACACGCGCGCACATTTATACACACACACATACACACACACACATCAATACAACACAAACATACACAACATCCATTCATTCGGTGTCGTTTTTGTTATGTTTCTCTTCAACTTTCTATTTTCTTTACCGGACTTTAATTTAATTCATAGGTAAGCTAGGAATTGAGATGAGTTGAACAATCGTAGGTAGGCTGTGGTTTAAAAATAGTTAAAAAGTTACAAGTAAAATTAAAACGTTAAAATATGTTAAATAAAATACCTAAAACATGTAAAATTTCTAAAACATAGGAATACAAATTTGTAGGTAGGTGGGTGAGTTGAGTTAATCATTATAGGTAAGCTAGGGCCCTGAGAATAATTTAATCGTAGGTAGGTGACTGACTACTAATCTTGCGACTTTTTACTTGTCTTTTTGTGATGTGTTTGTTTTTGCTTCACACCACACACACATACACAAAACTAAATTTTATTCTCGTCGTCGCCTCGAATTTTACATTTTTGAACAATCTTTCTAATAATGTCTATTTATTTATTTGTAAAATGTTGACTGGTTTTTTTTATTTGGTTATATAATTTTTGGTATTTCCTGATCTAGTTTGTATATATGCATGTATAAATAATTACTGTTTGGTATTTTGATTTAGCCATTATGACATGCTGTGAACTGTTTTTACTAAATGTTCATGTTTGTTTGTTTAAAATCCAAATTTTATAAAAAATTGACGTTTTTAAATTTAAATTTTTCGTCATTTTTCATTTTTGAATGATTTAAAATAAAAGCAACTGTTGTGTTTTTCTTTTCTTACTAAAATCTCGAAATTGTTTTTTCATGAATTGAATGAATAATTGAATGAATGATTGGACGATTGACTAATTGACTGAATTTTGTAAAAATCTTTAAAAATTACTGTCTAACATAAGGGTGTCAAAATTTACACATTTCAACCAAAGAGGGCAAATGAGGAATGGAATTTACCAGGACTGCATTAGTCTTTATACCCAGGACAGGATTTATAGGCTAGAACCACTGGAACAACAAAAAAATGCAAGTCCCTGTCTTGCCGATGTTCTAATTAGTTTAGTTTTTTCACTTTCCACGCCAAGCAAGACAATAAAATAATTGGTTTATTTGAAATTTTTTGTTCAACTAACATTTTCCAACAAATTTTCCATTTAAAATTAGTGTTTTCAACAGGTGTTCTATAATAAAATATAGAGTTTAATGAAATTTAAAATTAAATAAGGTTTAATAAAGTTTCAATAAAAGTAAAGCTAAATAAAAGATTATAAATATTTCTTCAAGGAAGCAATGTAGAGCCAGACGGAGAGTACATCGCTAGGGTAGGGACTGATGTAGACGGCAGCGGCAAACTCGACATCACCTAAATCAATTTCATGCACTCTCGTCGAGTGCACTAAATCCAGGATCGCTTGGATCCCTGTGTACGGGACATTCAGCGGAAATCCCGTAACCTAAAAATTTGGATAAAGTTGTCTACAGAATGATAAGATGTGGGCAGTGGTGGGAATCAGCACGTTTCGGATGGGATACAACGGAGTGAAGTGTAATGAAATTGGATAAAATTGAGATAAAAAATGTCATAAAATCGAACAAAAATGGGATGAAACTGATATAAGAATGGGATAAAATTAACTGGACAAAGTGTGATTAGCTAGAGATGAAGATATGATCCCATAATCCTGATGAGTCAAATGAAAATGGTATGAAAAAGAACGCACGCGTGGCAGAAATGGTTGAAATAATGGTGAAAAACAGATTCGATCATCCATTCATTCAATCATCCATTCACTCATTCATTCATTCGTTCATTCATTCATTCATTTATTCATTCGTTCGTTCATTCATTCATTCATTCATTCATTCATTCATTCACTCATTCGTTCGTCTGTCCATCCGTCCGTTCATTCATTCATTCATTCATTCACTCACTCATTCATTCATTCATTCCATTCGTTCGTTCGTTCGTTCGTTCGTTCGATCGATCGATCAGCCAACCACAAATGAAAACTGAATGTGAATGCCGACCTGATAGGAGCTCAGATCACTCTCCAATTCCTTGGCATGGTCCAACCTAGATGGCTCATCTGATAATGTTTCCATTCTACGAAATATAATATATTTAATGTGGAATAAATCTCTTCCCTATGATGAAATGATTGCGTTCCTATCAATAAACAACTAATTAACTTAATTAATTAATTTGAGGATCAACTTTTTTAACAGTTGATTAACTTTCTTAACTTAATTAATTAATTTAATAATCTACTTTTTTAGCAGTTAATTAATTAATTAAGTTAATTAATTAATTAATTAAATAATCAACTTTTTCAACAGTTAATTAATTAATGAACAAAGAAACAAAGGCAAAAAACTTTCTCCTTGTAAGCAACAAACGCCAAACAACCGTAAAACAGCATCGATAAAGAGCAGCAAACAAACAAACAGCAGCGGGTAAGGACGAAAAAACACGTCCTCAGCGAGTCCCTTCTCTTTTGGGCCTCTTGACTGAAATTTATATACTTTGGTGTCCTTATACAAAAAAAAACCGTTAATTTAATTCTATGGTTTCTCCGATGAGTGTTCAATATCACCACTTCATCTCAACTAAATCTTAATAATAATAATAATTGTTATCGACTGAGAACGTGTTTAACAAATGGGTAGTGGAAATAAAAATAGTTTCTTCATACTTTAAACAAAAATTTCATCGTTAATCTAAGATCCTAATAGAGAAATGTTTGAAAATACGCCGTCACAAAATAGTGCCAGGGCATGGCCGAAGATTGGGTACGCTTCTGACAAACATCCAAACAAACAAACAAACGAACGAACTAACAAACACCCCAACAAACATACAAACAACCAACCAACAATCACTACCCACCTCATCAGCAGCCTCCTAAATATCTGCACGCAGTACCTATTCCACCTTGTTATGTACCTTTTCCGCCATGATGCAATACTTTTCTTTATTTCACTTTCTATGCTCTCCTGTAAAATTTTCACCTTTTCTGTGTTGTCTTTGTTGTCGTCATCTTTGTATTTTAAACTATCAGGCTGGTTAAGGATGGTAAATAAATAAATAGATGAATTCACAGATATATGGATGAATAGATAGACGGATGGATGGAAAGGATAGATAGATGGATAAATGAATGAATGAGTAAATTTAAATTAACTCCATCCATCTATCCACTAACTTGTACGGAGGGCAGGTGGGCTGGATAGGGCAATTTGGCATCGAAGAGTGGCCTCCAATGTGACGTTTGTTGCAAATTGTCGAATTTCATCTCGTTCGGTTTGTCAGATTCTTGTACGTTCGCTAGGATCTGTAAAAGTGTGTGCGTGTATGTGTGCGTGTGTATATGTGTGTATGATGTTTGTGTGTTTATTTGTGTGTCTGTGTATGTGTGTGTCTTAGTATGTTTGTGTGAACAGCAACAGCAAACAACAACGTTATCAGCGCTAATAAGGCAAGCCACACTCTTCAGAGGGCAGAAGCTGTCGCTCGTGCTGAACGTCTCGCCAGTTGTGGCCCGCCACAGTGAAAAGCCGTTCGGGCGGTCGTCTGCTGATTTTACCAGCACGTAGGCTG